CTTGCCTCGGCTGCTTGGCTCTGGTGATAAGTAGAACAGGGTAGAGTAATAGTAGTACCTAAGTCCTGACTCCTGATTAGTCTGTAAATGTTTTCAAATGAAATATTTTTCTCCAACTGTCATATTGTGCTGGCAGTTTGTACAGTATTATACTGTGAGATGGATTGCAATCTATTTTGTTTATTTGTTTAAAAGTCTAATCTTGTAAATAAACCACCAATGTATTATTATGCTGCCTCAATAGCATTTAATCATTGTGTAGTGTTACACAACACTTAAATGACACAATTAAATGTACAATAAAATTAAATGACAATTTGTGCTCTAATGCTACGTCAGAGCAAATACAATAGCCAGAACTCATAATGACTACCATCAGGTCATAACAATATTCAAAATGTCATTATGTTGTCGTCCTTTTATCACATTACACATGTATGTTTGTAACTTGCTGTCCCAGTATTTCTGGGAGTATACTGTTTCTAAAAAAACACTCAACTTTAGGAATCGCATCATCCCAAAACTCAAGGTCAGGCAAAATCCTTTCAACAAATATGTCATTGCGGTTCCACACAACAAAGTCACAGTACTCTGCATTTGCAATGTGAAGCTGTGCCTGAATTTGGTAATAGTAGTCATGAGTTGGGTCCAGTGTGACATTATCCCCGTCACTGATGAGGCAGAAGCCCTTCTCCCCAGCACGCATGCGCAGGTTGACCGCATCTCTCTGAGAGTGTGGGCACTAAAATCACAGTGATGAGAACAACAATCAAGATTTATCTGATGAAACAGTGAAGAAGCAAAGATGATGGGTGTGGTCTGTGTTATCATAATCTCTCATTGCCCAAAACAAATGTCTATTTGAGACAGACAATAAAGCCTCATCTTATCTTAATTGAACAATAGATTAGAAATTAGAAAAGGTATTTCCTGCATTTTTACTCAGTTCACTGATTCTTATGGAAAGATGTCACACCTATGGCCTTGACTACAACAGAGTCAATACCTTAATCTCGCAGATGCCAGTTCCATGACAGTCACAAGTGACTATCCCATCAGGGGAGGACCCCATGTATGGCCACTTGGGGTTCAGCCAGAGACCGCTGTCCATACATGAGAAGCCTGCATGCTCCTGGCTCATAAGCTTCTCATATGCTCCTCTGGCTTGTGCTTCATGTTTGCATCCATAACTATAAACAGTACACATGCCAAACATGAAAAGGAAATTATTACTTAGTATTGGATGTGTAAAACAGTAAAGTGATGTATTATGCAATATGCCATTACCCTAAACTATACTTAGTTCTTACCCTGTATAACCCTAGCCGTATAAGCCTATAACTAACCTCCATCTTCATAACACTTTTTTAGTTACAGTTATGGACAGTTTCATACCCCAAATCTTAACTCTGCCTTACCCTACATCAAACCCTAAATACCTTGTAGCAGCTGTGGTGAACCTATATGCCTCTGGATAGCATATGGCCTTGATCAAGCTCTTTGATGGTTGCTGGGGGTTGGTCTTAAGAACTTGTTTCAGCTTAGAGGCAGTTACGCGTCCAGCTCTTTGCCTAAACCAAATACTGCTTGCACTCTGACTTCGAGTTGCCCTCTCTACAGCCTGGACTTGGGACAGGGTGAGCTCTTCAAGCTGGAAGTCCAGGCATAGCTCTTCAAGGTCTTTGGGGGGGAGCTGCAGTGTCTCTGGTGTTCTGTACTCAGGCACAGTTTTAGGAAGCATGCTAGACTGGGGGACAAATTCTTTGTGGTAAGGTTCCCTAGACATCAGTGCTGCACTCCTTGGACAGTTTTTGCTTAAACTCTCAAAAAACCTACAGTATGTCTCTGAATCTCTCTGCACTCTTGGGCATGGAAGTGATTTCCCAACCTTTTGTGTACTTGTGCAGCCATCAATGGAACACTCAAGCTTTCGTTTTTTGGACTTTGCTGAAGAGAAGTCAATCAGAGTTACTGGGCAAGCAGGAATCTGGAAAAATTAAGCCAAAGAAGATCATTAAAATTTAAAAAGCTCTTTTCTAAAACGCTATATATTCGTTTCCAAAAGTATTCGAAATTGAACAGTGATGGCAGTGGAGTGAGTATGTGTGTTTTAGGCTGGGTATAGTGGTTGGTTGGCAGTGAAGTGTGTGTGTGTATGTTGGGTGGGGATGGAGGTGCCATGTGCTGTGTATAAAAGGAGTGGAAAGTAAGCAGTTCCATGTTGATGAAAATGTGGTGTGAGGAGTTGTGAGTATTGAGGAATGCATGAGAAATGTGAATATATAAAGTGCTGCAGTCAGGTGTGTGTGTGTGCGCAGAAAACAAGTGCTAGGGTGTTGAGGCATGCATGAGAAGGGTGTGATATACAGTATACGGTTCTGCAGTCATGGTTATGTTAGTCATGAAAAAGGAAATGGCTTTTAAATGCTGTTATAGCGTTTTGGAATAGAACTCTTCATTTATTAAAGTA